CGCCCGCGGGCCGCCGGCGGTCATTGCGGCCCCCCCGCCACACAGAAAAGGCGCTGGGCCTGAACGCCTCGAGTTACTGCTTCGGGCACGAACGTGCTGCCCTGGTAATGAGACGGTTGCGTGTGAGTGTTAGGTGTGTTAGCTTTTTAATTACTGTTTGATAATTAAGCGTTATTTGGGGCATCAATCTTCGCACTAGATTTTCTCAGTGCATGGAAGAAAAGCGTTTGGGTACTTTCCCTTCTTACACCTAAACACTGCCAGCTGTATTTTTAAACCCTTATTTCCGCTTTAAAGCGTGGACTGCTTTGGATGGCAGCACAGTTAAAGTCTTTTCAGAACACAGCCCTCTGCGTGGCCAGCGCTGGCGTTCAGGGAGACTCGTTCAGCACATGTAGCACACAGTTTATATTGCTGGAGAATTAAATTCTTGAGGCAGGCGCATTGCTATTTGCAGTAATACAGAGTGGCACCTTCAGCGTGAAGATTTACTTTGTAACATGCAAATCCATGTCTTCCAGTATCAATAATAAAAATACACTAAGACCTGTTGATTTCTTAGTATTAAGTAACTTCTCACAAGCGTAGAAAGCTTGGGGTATGAAAGACCGTCTGGACCAACAGTAAATCAGTGTTATAATTAAGTACAATTGCATGTAAAAATCCTACCAATATCAGATAACAATATTTCAGATTCCCCTCTCTTTCATTTTGCAGTGATGGACTGAAGCTTGAAACTGAAGTGCTGGATGGAAAGCCTAGGCTAATTTTAACTACTTCTGGTATTTTTTTAATCACTTACCTCAAGTAATCTTTAAAGCTTCTTGAAGTTAAACCTAAGATCCAAGCACATGAAGCATAGCTTTATTGAAGTATTTTTCAGCTTAGGAAGAATATTTGCATGTTGTTATTTAGAAGTCCTTGTACTCCCCAGCTTGGTACTGAACAGCCGGTTGATAATGGACTTGTGAATAGTCTGTCTGCTGGTGAACAGCTGGCAGATAGTCTTGACTCTTTACAGCTTAACGTTTTTCAGTGAATGGAGAGACGAGTATTATTATATATTGACTGGCTTAACTTGATAATTTCTGTAACTTTAGAGCACCTTCATTACCAAGGAAAAAGAGGCCAAATAGCTCTCTGCTTAATTTACACAGAATTACATGATTACAGTCACATTTCTGATTTTAAAGCAGCTTTAGTATTTGGCAGTTGACATTTAGAATTTTCAGTAAGTGGTTTCTTTAGGACAGATCTCATTTCTACCATCTGAGATAGACTTTTCCAGTATATGTTCATAATTTAGCATTAATAAATTCTATTTTTGTGATTTGTCAGACATATGTTTCTATGCAAGCACAAGTTCACTGTCCCTGATTGTTCTACACAGCAGTCAGGATACAGAAATTCACTGGTTAATGCCCTCTAAATTATATTTCATCTTCTGCATTTACCAGACAGCTATGTAATGAGGTGTTACGGGGTATTTTTGAGTCAGCAAGGAACACCAGTCCACTGGAAACAAAGCCTTGCAACACCTCAGAAAAAGCAATGCTACAGTTTTCGCTTTTTACAACCGTAGTTAGCATCACTGGCAGGCTGGGGCTAGCGTACATGCCAGAGTGCTCTAAGATAAAGCATCACCCCTGACTCTGAACTAGCCTGGAACAAGCAGTCGTCTCCAGGAGTTAACGTGTTTATACAACTGATCTGAACAGCACTTCCTTGAATTGAATTGTGTCAAAAACTGCATCTAACTGCATTACTTAAGAATTCCAGTTTTCTGCACTGCCAAATACAGCTCACAGTCTTTGGGGCTAAAGTAGGTGGCATGGTTTAACCCCAGCCAGCAACCAAGTACCACACAGCCACTCGCTCACCTAGTCCCCAGGTCGCGAGAGCCAGACCAAGCCCAAGAGAGAGAAGGACCCCTGGCCCATCTCCCAACTTACATACTGAGCATGATGTTTGTTGGCATGTAATGTCCCTTTGGTCAGTTTGGGTCAGCTGCCCTGGCTGTGTCCCCTCCCAGCTTGTTGTAGAGAAGCAGCTGGGAACACAGGGGCAGTATCAGAAACTGAGGCAGTCCTTGAGTTGACATAAACATTCCTTAGCAACAGCTGAAAACATCAGAATGTTGTCAGTATTCTTCTCACCACAACCAAAACAAAGCCTGGCGCTAGCTACTGGGAGGAAAATTACATCTCTCCCAACTAAAACCAGCACGGTAGCATTACTCTGTCGTAGCCTAAGCTGCCACTTCAGATTGTTGTTTCTCTCTTACCTAGAAAAAAAAACCCAAAGAAAATAACCTAGAAACATCACTTTGCAGTTCCACATCATGTATCTCCGCACTGTGATGCCAAAGACCCTATTTATGTTTGTTTCTCTTCCACAGAGAAAGGGGGCTTGCATAGCATGTAAAATCCCACTTTATTTTATCTATAAAAACCCTGGAAATACACTGGAATATACCTAATTGTACTTTTCCCCTGCATTACAAAAAATCAGATGAATGTAACAGTTGTTTAATGTCTCAAGATTGTTTTTCAGGAAGAAGTTGCTATTAAATACTTCTCTCATATATTTGTGTTTGTTTTCCAAAAGATAAATCAAAGCCTGGAGTAAAGGTAAGTGGAAAAATTACTTTTTTTTGTTACAGCACACTAATTAATTAGTTAATTTGTTAACACAGCAATTTGAGAACACATCTGAACTGTCTAAATTCTTGTAATCAATTACATTTATGAAAGATAAATACATACTTACAGGTCCCTTCCAACTTGAGATATTCTGTGTTTCTATGATTTTTCAGGTTCGTAACAGCTGTTAAAGAGGATGAATTAAAAGTTCTATGACTGCCTTTACCTTTTCATAATGCTTTACTTTGTCAAGAAGTTACAGCAGCACAGGGAACCATCTAACTCGGAACTTTCGAGCCCTTAGAGAGATGCTGGTAAAACAGGGATCTGAACTGAGTTCAAGGTCCAGTTTAGTCGTACAGGTTGTCTCTCTCCGAGTAAGCTGGAATGCAGTGGGTTGGGGTAGGAAAGAAAGCAGAAGATCTCAGTGCATAGGAAGTAACAAGTGTACGCCAAGGACCTTGAAAAGGATAAAACTTTAGTACAGAACGGAAAAAGCAAGATTGAAATAATGCTGGCCACATGGTGAAAACAGACCTATTTGAAGCCAGGCTTCACTAAAGAAAAGCAGAATTAATGTTTATTAATTCTTTTAGATATCATGCTACACAGGGTTATTTTTCATACTGTCATTTTTAAATATTCAGACTTAGGTGCTGTATTCTCTTCCAAGATACTCTTTGTAGTCATGAAGATATTTCATTAGTTTTTAGCAAGTTGGTTTCTCCTGATGTAACAGAGAAGAAAGATGATGCTTATTTTACTTGTTGCCTCAATCTTGGTTTTGTTTGTTACCCATGCAGTTTTATTTCCTTATTTAATACATGGTTGTTTGTTACCCATGCAGTTTTATTTCCTTATTTAATACATGGTGACATCTTTTTGTTAACAGATGGGTAACAAAGCCAGAGCACCTAAAAAGGCACTGAGAATAAGGCATACTGGGCATGTTCTGAAGTCAGCACAAAATGCTCGTGTCAAGCAGGAAAACGTAACAAAACCTAGGAGTGAATCGAGCTTATCAATGACAAAAGGTGAAAAACTGCACGTTACTAAACACTCTTCACATGGAGTCCCAACTAAAGATCACTCTTTGATTTTCCAAAGAGAGAGCACAAACACATACCCTGATTCAGAGAATCACAGTGTTGTTAAAAAAGGGAAACAGGAACCTCAAAACCCATGTGTATCAGCTGAAGACCTAAGGATTTTGGTGTGTTTGACACAAGAACAGCTTCAGCAGATTTTGATGACTGTAAAAGAAGGAACTAGGAGTATCGCTGAGACTCATAATGAAAAGCAAGAAGAAATGGGTAAGATCGCAATAGTTGAATAAGTTATTTTCATGGAAACAGAGCGAAACATGAAAGTTTAATGTGCGAGTTCACAATTTAAGTTTATTTTCAGGCTGCAGAGATGTTATTCTAAGGGTCTCGGACAAAATACTGTTTGCTATTATGGGTGTGAAATTGCCTATTACTGTTGGGAGGCAAGCCTTGGGTAATTTTCACAGTAAAACCTGAGGACTGCATGACAGTATTCCAGTACTTTGAAGGACAAACCAGCAAACAAGTCTGTCAACATTTCATGCGAACAAAAACATTTTACACGGGGAGAAAAAACATAGAACTGCAGTGTAGCATTACTATTGGGAGTTGGAAAAAAACTACCTCAAAGAGGTGGGCCTTTCTGGTTTTGTGAAGAGTTCAGGTCTTGCCGTGCGGCTCAAGAGCAGTAGTGCCATTTTCCTCTGGCTTAAAGATGTACATGTATCTTTTCCCCTAACTGTAATACTACTGTTGAATAGTTTGGGGCTTTTTTTTTCCAATTCTTCTACTCAGAAGCCAAAGAACTATTCCTTATCTTCATCTATTACATCCTTAGTCCTGTCTGTGGGCCTATAGAGGTGGTCAGCTGTTTGCCACCAGGACAGGGCATGCTGCAGTTAAGGGATTAGAGTCCCTAAGTCTGAGCTCTTAGCCAAGAACAGCGTTTGCTCTAAGTCTAGCATTCTAAAACACCCTGTGATGTTGTGACTTTACACACCTTAACCATACAAGCAGGGCTGAAAACAGTTTGTTAAATAGTGGGGAATTCACAAATTTCTGCTGTTCTTGAAGTATTTACTTAATGCTGAAGAACATTTGGTGGTCATATATATTTTCACGTATTTATACTCCATCACAGTTAACAATGAGGCATCAGAGGAAAACGTTATAGTGTTCCTCCAGAAATCTTGTGAAATTCCATCTGTTTCAGAGGAAGGTAACTCCGATTCAAGCAAGAAACAAGCAGCAGATCTGCAGCCAGGACGTAAAATTACGTACGTAGATCTGTCTTACTGTCTACAAAAATTGTACCTCCAATAAAGATTCGTATTTTAACTCTTAATCACAGTAAGAATATTTGTAAATACTAGTTTAAAGTTACTTTTAAAAGATTGGCTTTTAAGGTAACATTGGGTTTTTTCCCCTCTTCTCTAGAAAGGAGTCATGGAAACCTGCTGACATGTTCAGTACCCTGGGTGAAAGAGAAGGGGAGAAGGCCTTACTAGAGCTTAGAAGGACCCAATGGAAGAAGGAATTAGGTACTTGTGATACACAATATATTTTTGATCAGCGTATTACACTCAGGGTGCCAAGAAACTTGGTGCTTTTTCAAATTTACTTATAGCAGTGCAGCTGCTATGAAGTGGAAAGTACATAGTTTTATTAGTCTTCAAGACAGATTAAGATTCTTGGATTTGAACATCTTATGCAAGGATTACCTATAATTTCCAGCAAAAAATGCTTCTTAACCAAATACATATTATGAGAAATATAGTCAGTTATATTTCGGATTTTAGGAGTTACTTTCCACTGATTTTGTCACATTCTGACAGTACTCGATAGCCATTATCATTAACAAATTCATTTGTTTCTTAAAGGCAAAAGTGTCACCCTAATCTGGAAGCATGACTTAATGCATAAAATTGCAGTTTGACCTTGAAACAGTTTGCAGTCCTGTCCCATCAGCAGCCATGGGGAATCTGTAGAAAAATAAAAATGTTTAATGCAGTAGTAAATTCTGACAAATTAAGCTTTTTATGATTCACATGCAGGACTGTTGTGTTTTGTTTTCAACTTGGGTGTAGACCATTTGGTTTCAGGGTTTGATTGTGCATTGTCAGTAGCTTCCGCTTATAGCTCCCTTGGCTTTAGTAATATTAAAGTAGTCCAAGACTGGTGTAATAGAATGGAGAGAATTTGTATACTTGGCTATTTCTGTTAGCTTTCCCTCTTCCCCTGGGACATTGTTAAGCCTTCAGTGTTCTGTAGTCTTCTCAAAGAGATTCCCCAACTACCTGTACATCTCTGGGCAGAGACTCAGCTGCCATCCTCTTAAGAGCAAAGTCATGTTCAGACTGATTGGTCTGACAAGGGTGACTTACTCTTCTTGTCCATTTTACAATCAAAATTACAGGGTAGACATGCACTGCTGCTTTTTTCTTAAACCAAAACCAAACTGCTACATGTCTGTGTTAGGAGCTCTTACTAGCCTTGTTTTTTTGAAGATGAACAGGTAGCACTGAAGAAGAAACTGAAAGAAACTTTGGAGCGAGAAGTGGGTTATTTCTGGGCCAAGCCTGGCAATAATAAAGTGCATAAAGAGGAAGTGGAAACAGCTGACCCAGACAAGGTAAGACTATCAACACTAAAGAGCACACAGCTTCCACAGCACTGTTCCAGAACTGTTCAACTTTTACTTCTACAAGACTTTCTTTTCTATACGAGTCCAGTAGAATCCCATCTCACTGGTCACATTAAGCTCTTGCACGGCAGGAATTGATGCAACTCCCTGTTTCCCACTTCCCACTTACTTCCCACTTGTTGCTCCAGTTTGTAGTTTCACCAGTTAAGATCTCTGTAACATAAACAACCCATTCCTGTCCTTACATGTTAATTCCTGACAAAAAAGGTATAAATCTTTTCCAGGTGGGTTGTTTTTGAGGAATAGTCTCAAATGGAGTTCCTGGTTATATAATTATTTACATTGTTCATGAGCTCTCACATATATTTGATTGCTTTCATAATAAGCATAGCAGCTTGACGTTAACCTGTCTTTAAAAAGTCAGCTGTCGCTCTGAAAATGCTGTGTCAGATAAGTGTACTCAGCTGAGACTGCTTCTCCAGTGAAATTCATTGCTGTTGAGCAGAAGTTAGGGTTGTACCTGCTGTTGTTACTACAACAAAAGCAAAGTGCTTTGTTTGTGGCATTTTCAGCATGCCTAGGAAAGTTACTAGTTTGACCCATAAGTACATGTTTCAATCTACATAATTTAAGAATTAATGGATGTGAGATACTTAGTTAAAGTTTTAATGAAATAACAGCTTCCAGAAATACAATTTACTTGTTTATTATATGTTAAAGGCTATTTAATACTAACAAAACAGGTGAGCTAAATAAATCAAAAGCTAAACAACAGTGGTCACTTTATTTGCAGACAGTGTTTCCAGCTGACTCAGTTATTACCACAGAGGAAGACGATGTCTGTGCAACTGCTTTAACCACAGAGGCTGATCGAGTACCACTGAGCCTTTCAAGTGCTCCAGCTGGGCAGCGTTCTGATCACCGACCTTCTGACTTACCAGCTGCCACTCGCTCAGCATTTGTTTTAGGGGTAAGATTTTAAACTGCGTGCAGTTGTTGCTGTAGTGTTATTTTTTAAAAAAATTGTTGTTGTTACTATTATTTGTTGACAACAGATGTGTATCTTTAGTAGTTCTTTTAAACCAGAATAATTCAGTAGACCTCTTTGCTCTTCCTAAAGAGCTGTGTCTGAACAAGTTCTTATCAAAATACCAATGCTTTGAAGACTGAGCATTTTCAAGGCTGATGTGAAGAACAGTACCAGAGGTGTGAGCTGAAGTGTTAATTTAGCTTTTCAGTACGTGTTAGAGAAACAGAGAAGTGGGAACCGGTCAGAAATAAAAGATTTTAAGAAACATATTGATAGCAGAAGGTTCAAGAGTCATTGCTAGTAGGCACTGATTGAGGAGTGGTTTTTGTCAGAGAGCACTGACAGTACTCAGTGCTGCTGGAGTGTGTTAAATAAAATAGATATTAAGAAGCAGGAACAGAGGAATGAAGGTGGTATCTAGAATTTACTTGAGACAGGTTGGTACCGATTAGATTATGGTGCTGAATCGACCTGGAACACAGACTGAGCAGTGAACCATAGGAAGAACAAAGGGATTTTTATTCATGATAGACAGAGGTGAGTTGTTTTATGGAACAAGAGGCCGATAGTTCAGTTTAGTATTCAAAGACTGGCTTATTTACCGTCTTTCGAACAAGACAGAGGTGAGTTGTTTTATGGAACAAGAGGCTGATAGTTCAGTTTAGAATAGTATTCAAAGACTGGCTTATTTACCGTCTTTCGAACACCTGAAGCATTTTTATGGAGCAGGCAGATACTTGCTACGTTACAACTTGCTTTGCCAGAGGGAACAGCCCAGTTTCGCTTAGTAACTGAGGGCTACGTTTTCTGCCAAGTCTTCATTATGTTGCTAAACAAGGTACCGAATGTTTCGTGCGAAGAAGAGACACTAGCACTTACCTTATTTCAGGAAGCTGTGCCACAGGAACGACCTTTTGGTGCTTTGAAGCATGAGCAACAGAAGAAGTGGCTTGAAGAGCTGGACAAACAGAAGGAAGAAGCTAAGCTACGAAAAATAGAAGAAAAACTTAATTTATCAAAGGTAAGAGGGACTTTTTGGAATAAGAGAAATTTTTCAAAAAAAAGAAAGAACAGATGAAATCATAGGCCTAATGAAGTAGCAGCAAAGATGTAATTACTTGCAGCGTGTCCAGGTTTCGCTATAAGGCCACAGGACAGTGCAACTGAACATTCAGCCAGTAGCTGTTCCCGTGTTTCAGCAGCAGAGAACAGGCTACCACGCGCCTGGTGCCGTGTGTTAGTGTGCTTATGCAGGGGGAAAACAGTGACACTACTATGCTGCTTTTTCTTTCCCACCATTGCGTGAAGGCACTAAGGTTTGGGAGGCGTTAGAGGCACTGCTGGACACGTGGTAAAAAGAAGTTTCCTGTAGACTGCAGGAGGAGATGAGAAAAGAAAAGGAAAGTTACAGGCAAGTAATATGTCACAGTGGTGTTCAAATCCAGTTTCTAGAAATATTTTAATATGCATACACTCTTGGAAAACTTTTAAAACACACTCCAAATCATATTTAAGAAAATAGCCTTACCTTTTTTACCCTTTGATTTTTCCAGGATGTTGAATGTAGGTCTCTTTTGCTGGATCTAGAAGGAAACTGTGGCCAGTATAATTGCTTTGCAGGTGGAATACCTGAAGAGACTTCTAATACTGTTACTGTTGGCCAATTTGGCCAACATGTCTTTTACCCCTGGGTTCTTCCTATAGAAGCTGACTTCTTTTCTTTCCAGGTTACCATTAGTAGTTTTAAGGTCAGTGGAATACAGCCCAACATTAGAACACTTTTGTAAAGGTTCTTGTCTTTTGCAGTGAGGAAGCATGCAGTGACATCATACTACTGCTAGAATCCAGATTTCCACATTACTGTTCACACCTTTAACCCCAGGATTACATCTTTCACCATGCATGAGAATATTCACATCATGGGATGTTCTGTATTGTTAATCAACAAGAATTTTAATTGTGAATACTGACAGTCCCTGGCCTTCTGGATTAAAAGGCTACATTTAAAGCAATTACACAATTCCTAGACAAAAATTCATTTCAATTCCACAGTTTGTAATACAAGAGGAGAGCTTTCCTACCCACCCTCCAAAAAAACCCCTTGGTGTAAAGGCTGGTTACGTACCGATGAACAACACAAGTCTTTTCCTGAGTTGCTGAAGGGATTCAGATTTCCTTTGTAAACTGAGCTTTGTAACTGTGAAGGGAACCCAGCTGGGAAAGGTTCCTTCACTAGCTGCCTTGGTGCGGGGGGAAGATGGCTGCAGCCACCAGAGTAACAGTAACAGTAATCTCACTTCCAGCCTCTTTTTAAAGGAAGTTGGTGTGCACCTCCTGTCTTTTTAGTCAACATCTTGTTTTTAGGTCTTGTGTTACACTCTCAACCCTTCTGCATGCTGCACCACAGGCTTGCATGAGAATAAAGTAGATCTTCCAACTACTCTGATCTGCTTCAGCATCACAGAGTACTCAAAGGGAACAAAACTTGGGAAACGGGTGGAAGAATAGTTTGGATTCTCATTATTCGGACTATGATATTCTTGCTTCTTTTAAAATAGGTGTGAAACTTTTCTGACAGAAGGGATTTTTTTATTTAAGGAAAGGACTCCCAGAAAGTTTATTAGATTAGATTATGGTAGTTGTTCTCCTGCAGAATGCAAGTTTCGAGGCAGCCGTTCTCTCATCGCTCCAGGGAAATGGTTCTTTTAGTCAGAAGGGCAAACCTCAGTATCTAAAGCAAAACCAAAGGCCTCTTAGGTAAAAATCTTCTATTACTGATACATTGGAATGTCTCAATTGCCAACACTAAGCCAGAAACATAATCCTGGGTGGTAGGGAAAAAGGGAGTTAAACCCCCTCTGTCACCTCTACGGAAGTTTTAGGTGCTTTGCTAGGGTAGCAGTGGTGGCTGCTGTGGATGGAAGAGATTTTGAAAGAAGGCTTATTTTGTAATGGGAATAGGAAGTTAGAGATTACTGTCTCTGCCCAAAGCACATTAATTCTGCTACCATCCAGAATTAAAGTGGAGGGGTAAATGTAGGACAGCGTAAAAGATGCCACTTGTGCATGTTGCTAGAGGGAGAGTACATACACGGCAGAGGGGACGGGGTACTGACCTTTCAGTCAAGCAGTTCCCCGTACTATTAGAAAAATTATGGAATGGAGCAGTAATAAGAATTGAAAAGCAGTACCAGAAAGCCTGAATCCATGGTAACTTAAATTTGGAGATTTTTTCAATTGTTTTTTTTTCTCTCACTTCCTAATTTTTTGGGGTTTTTTCCCTGAAAATACAGTATGTTTTTGCTGACCAAGTATATGGATCAGTAGTGTGATTTCTGATCTGACCTGCATTTTAAACAACAGAGACACTTCCGTTTTCCCATTCAGGGAATTATCTTCGGTCTGTATTGTAGCCCCATAATAGAGCTTTTCAAATGTTCCTATGTTACAAAATGTGTATTGTCTGTTTCATTAACCATTCTTTACAGAAACAGTGTAATTGAGCGCTTTTCATTTTTGTTGCTTCATATTTATTTAGGCTGAAGAGCATGACAGATGGGCAATGCATTTTGATTCTTTAAAGAACCACCTTAATGCTAGTGCACAAAACCCCTTAAGTGGAATGTACAAAAAGCAGCCTGAAAGTCTTTGCCTGTCACCTGAGCCTAAGGACCCGACTGCTTTTATTCACCCTTTTTCACCTGCAGCTTTAGGCAGCCTCATGCCCTCAAAGGTGGGAAATGCAGAAAAAGCTGCTAAGAACAGTGCTGTGGGACACAATCAGAAGGTCAGGTGAGTAAGCTTTGTAAGGATAATCATCTTCCCAGCCAGTACATTTCTCACACCTTCTCAGAATAAAAAATAAAATGGAATAAGGTTCTTCAGATTTGATCTTTGGATCTTATTCATTTGGCTTTTAGTTTTTTCAGAAATACCTGTTTTACCCTTAAAAGACACAAGTGCTGCCATTGTTCACGAGCAAAATTTGCTGCAAATAACCTTACTTTTTCCCTTAGTTGAATTTCATAATTGTAAATTAATACAATGGGATAACCTCAGTATGAACATACTACTTGAAATCTAAGATTAAGAAAGGCTTTAGGAATATCTTCTTACCATTAAAACACTGACATGTTTCCTTGTTCATAGTTTCCTCCGTTCAATGACAGCTCTCCTGGACCCTGCACAGCTTGAAGAGAGGGTCCGGCGGCGGCAGAAGCAGTTAGAACATCAGGTAGCCTTCCGTTTTACTAACGCTGCTAATGAGAACCCAGGATGGAAGGTAGTGTTGTCACGTGAATAAAGCGTGAGATTTAGTGCCAGCATCCAGTGAGGTACTTGACTTTTATGCCTCAGATTACATGTTTACAGTTGACTGATGGTTTTTCATTCAGTTAGACTCTACTCTTTTCTTTTAATATTGGTACAGAGATTATTGCATTTCGGTAACTGAATTATTCCCTCAAAAAACACATGATGGTTTCTCATTCAGTTAGACTCTACTCTTTTAATATTGGTACAGAGATTATTGCATTTCGGTAACTGAATTATTCCCTCAAAAAACACACAGTCTTTAGAGTTCTCGTAGGTTTGTGTTCATTTTTCTTCCATCTCCACTGTCATCAGGAGGACTGATATTTAACAGGTACCCACGCCTTCAGTCTACAGTGATTTACGTTACTTCTGTGGCACTCTTACTGAATGTACATCTGCGTGATGCTGTCCCTAGCACAGTGTTAAGAAGTCTGAGTGTAACAAGCCTGTTCTGGTCAAACTGTTGTTCTGCTGGATCAAAATGCTAGCTTAAAAAGCTACTTCTGTTTGTTCTTGAGCATTTCAAACTGCTATATTGGGCTGGTAGTTCTCAAAAACCCCCCAAACAAACAAACAAACCAAAACAGAAACAAACACACCAAAAAAACCAAACCAAACCCACAAGCCAAAATCCCACCAAAACCAACCAACCAAGGAAGGCAGCTATCTTTCTTGTGAGAAATTGAAAGAAACAAAAGTGTTTATGAAATAAATTATCTTGATTTTTTTTTTTATTTGTCCAAATCCCTTTATTATATATGGAAGTATGTAGCTTATAACACCTTTAGTTTATATCTTTTCATTTTCCTTTTTTTCTGATATTACTAGAAAGCAATAATGGCTCAGATAGAAGAAAAACGGACGAAGAAACAACTGGAGGAAGAGCAGAGAAGATGGGAAGAACAAGAGGAAGAACAGCGCCTAGCACGAGAAAAAGAACAAAAGCAGAAGCAGTTTGAAGAAGATATGCTGAAACAAAAAGAGAAGGAGGTGGGGCTTGGCATTTCCTTTAGTGGAGATAGGCTGGAATAATAATGGATTTAAGGAAAATGGTTCTTGTTACTGACCTTCAAAATGGTGTTGACTCATCATTTTGAAAATTAAAACTGTCTGAAATTTAGACATTTGAAACCAAAATCTGTTTCCTGTAGCAGTTGGGAAGTTGGGAAGGGAGGTCTTCCTTGGCCCAGGCTCCTGCACCTTAAACCTACTGAGTGTGGACATTTTAGCCCTCATATTTAGGCATGTTCTGCCTTTGTTAGGGAGGCTTCTACCGTCTCTTTTCTGTGAAAGTAGGCAGAAGGGGGTTTTTAAGTTATTTTTCTTTAGGCTTCTTTTATTTCCTTAAACCACATGATATAGGAAGCCACAGGTGGCTGAAATCAGACGGCATTTAGGAAATGATGAATGTATTAGAAAGGGGAGAAATATCCAAATAAGTGGGGGGATCTACGTGCTCACTTTTGAATGCCAGGATTGAACATCTTCCATTAGCACAGCCGAGGTTCTGAATTCATAATTGTAAAAGTTACATGTTACACACTGCATCTGCACAACTAATTCTGGGTTTGTGTTTTTGTAAAAATGGCTTTACCCAAAACAAGAATGTCTGTAAACTTTCAGGATTATTTGGGGATTAAATAATCCTGTTTCTTTTATTCCTAAATGTAATGATCACTTTTTCTTAAAGGAACTCGTGACTCTTAAAACAAACGAGCTCTATCAGACAGTGCAGAAAGCACAAGAACTAGCACAGAGATTAAAACAAGAGCAGCGCATACGAGACTTGGCTCACAAGGGCTATGACATTTCAAAACTTCAGAAGGATCCTGGTGGTGGCAAGTAGAAGTCTCTTCATGTTCGATTTGCCTGTTCCTTTGGGGTTTGCATGCAAGTTGTTGGAGGGTTTTGGTTTGGGGGTTTTCCGCCATCTGCATTTGGGTCAGAAATAGCTCCTTTGCTTCACGAACCAAATTTCATTTCAGCTTATCTACCTTCCACACAAATGTAAGTGTTAACTAATATGGAGAATATTCTACTTTAGAAAGCTTCAAATATGGTATTACATAAAGGAAGAAATACAAAGATATTATCAGGGATGCACAGGGAATAGTCAGATCTGTGTGCTGTCACTTTAGATTTCCAGTGAAAAAGGATTAGGATCTGAACCATAGTTCTGTCTTGAGTTCTACACCACGATAGTCTGATAACTTGGTATCATGCTTTAAATGGAACAATTTTACTTACTCCTTTTTAGGTAATACAGAATGTGAGAATGGTAATGCTGACATTTCACATCGAAGTCGCGGTTTTCCTGATGACGCTAAGTGTCCCATTGATCAGCAGGCTTCTCCTCGGAAAGACACTGCTGTGCAGACAGGTATGCAGCCCTTCAGTCCATTACTCTGATGTACCTCGAGACGGACAGCAGAGCAGCACCGTTGTGAAACTGTGCTATAGGCCCCAGTCACAGTCACTCAGAACGGAATAAACTAGAAATCCTTGGGCAGGCACAGGCATGTTGGAGTATCGCCGTCTATCACTGTGTTCTTCTGAACAGATGGCACGGCTCTGCAGTGGCTACTTACCAGTCACAGATTCAGGTCACCCAGTCCGAAATACAGCGCTGACGTTGAGTCATGGTCGCAAGACACGCAGGACTAAGTCTACGAAGGTGTTGTTTAAGCAGGTATTTGTAGTCATCTTCAGTGGGAACGCCCGCAGCTTGACGTTAACGTGGTTTCGTGTCAGGCAGGGCTGGGTTCCTAATGAAATCCTTGGAAATACTGGCAGAAACGTTATCAGTAATTCTGGAATTAGAAAACTAGACAAAATAGAGCTTACATGGTCAAGTTTAGAAAAGGTTTCTGCAATTCTTGCCACATACCCAGACAGAATTGCGGGGCCAGCTAGACAGAACACTTTCCAGTCTTGATTTTTGTATCACCCCGTTAAAAATGCACATCAGACTTTGCCTGCGTTTGGTAATGCTGCAGAAATGGGAATGAGCAGATTCACTGGAAACGTACAGTGACTTTATTTTAGAAATCTATGAGCTTCCCACCACTTGTGAAGTGAAAGCTTTATTTTCTTACTGTTTGCTTAAGCAACAGTTAGTATTTTTGGTTTTGACAGTGCTGGTAGAAATGTTACTGTGAACTTGGAAAGTTTACAAATTAAATAATGTTTTTGTGAATGCCCCTTAGTAAAAACTGGACTGTTAGTAATACAGAAACTGAGCCATCGGCATGCTGAACAACTGAACAGAACCTGGTTTTCTCTGCACCGTTAGGTGCAGTGACAGAGATGGAATTCTACATTTTTAAGTAACATAGTTTTGTTTTACCTAAATTTTGCTTTTACAGTGACTTGATTTCACTCTCCAGTCTTTTTTTTCCTTATGGAGTTTACTTCTACTGGTCCTGTCTATCTTCCACATCAAAAAGAATAAAAACCATTATGAAACTGTAACAACTGTAACAGCAGTTTTAATAAAACCAGTAATGGTAGATGGGTACACATACAAAAGTCAAACAAGTAATTTGAATGGCTTGGACTTGGACTTAAAATATGGTTTTTATTTTTTAGATGATTTTAATACTTCAGCATGCACTGAGTCAGCTGAGGAAAGAATTGTGTGTTGCACACCGCCTGATGTTTCCATAGAATATAAAGAAAACTCTAGAAGCAAAAAATACCAGAAGGAAACGCAGTATATAGATAAACACAAAAGTTCAGCGAAGGAGAATGGTGGCGTTTACAGTGATCTGTATGAACCATATGCAAGAAAAGACAGACAGACTAAGCCTTCCGAAAAATACAGCAAAAAACCCAACTGGAACATAAACAAGCCTGGGAAAAGGTACATTCCAGCTTCAGAAAGATACCCTAAAGAGCGACAGAAACAAAGGGAAGAAAACAAAGTAAGACGACAAATGGAGCTGCTTCAGTTGGTGGAAAGAAATACACCTGGGAATCTCTGCCAAAAAAGGGCTGGTTACTCGGACAGGTCTCCTTCACCTCACGAAGAAATAAATATGAAGAAAAAGGGACATAGACTCAGAAAGGTAAATATTTGGTCTTCAGCATCAGCGGTGTGTGGCTTTCAGATGCCTGTTCCGCACAGTTTTGCCTGGGCAGGAGTTCAGCTGTGTAACAGCAGCATTGAGAATCTCCCCATCCCTGCCCTCTGTGCCACGGGTGCTGCCGCAGCACTGTTCTGCTCCTCTGCCAGCCTCCTTAGCAGAGCCTTTTCTTCTCCGCTTGCAGTAAGCATATAGGGGTGTAGCATGTGGCTGGGGGGCAAAAAAACCCCAAACCAGCCCATTTAAAGGAAATACTATCAAATGTATTCATGCCTTCTCTCTCCCTGTATGTCTGTACGTATTGTTGGATAAACTCCTCCCTTTCACACACCTTCCAGTAGGAAAAAAATGGTGTCAAAAAGGGGGCCACTTCCGTTCTGTTTAGCCATGTGTTTGCTGTTACCGTTCAGATAAGTACCAGGCATACTACCATTCAGATAATATTAATTTGTTAAATGAGTTTATTGGTTTATTTGAGGCTAATGGTAAACTAAGTTTTGTGCTTACATTACTGGAAGGTAAATGTTCAGCAATATTGCTCCCGAGAAGGCACCTGAGGACTTCAGGCACTGTCTGATACCACAAGCAGCACGGGATACGTTAATATTTTTCACTTAAATAGAAAACTTCTACTGACTGTATCTAGAAACACAACCTTCCCTTTATTAACCCCTTTGTTAACCACTGTCTTGGGCTGAACCTTTCAGGTTTGTAACTGCAGCTTTCCAAGTTCATTGGAAAACACACAGTATCTTTGGTAGTGCTTAGAGCTGCTGAAGAAGTAGAAAATGACAGCAAATCCCCCTGGAATTGTTCAGTTTAGTTCACAGACACCACAAGTCTCTCTATTGCAAGCCCTGGATAAATACCTGTCTCCTGAACTCGGGTCAAACAGTCCGTTTGGAATTTCAGAACAAAGCTGGCTTGAAAAATGAAAGCTTTCAACATAAAAAATACGGAGCTTTTTGTTTTACTTCTGACTTTCTTGGTTTTCTCCTAGGAAGAACAATTACATAAGAACCATTTGAATGAAGAAAGGTACGTCGATACCCTGCACTGATGCAATGTATAAACACATGAATAGTGAAAAACATACGCTTTTCTTTCCTGATCTTTAATTTTTTTAAAAAAGAATCGATGCATCTAATTGTCTGTTATAAATACAGAAGACCAGACAAGCTGCATGTATAAAAGCAGCATAAATGACCAGAGGTCCTCTGGGGATTCTTTGTCTCTGCTATTTGAGAATATTAATTACCTAAGTATTGCTGGGGTTTTTTTTAACCTGAAATTGTTTCATACAGATGTGAATCACCACCTGTTCCAGCAGTTAAGAACAGATTACACCAAAACCAGACACATGCTTCCAATTTCCTGGTGCACAACAGCAATAGTAGAAGAGAGAAAAACATCAGGACAGAAACACAGCAGAGGAGCTCCCCTCCTCCCGCTGCAGAAGCCGCAAGACCTCCTTCCTCACAATTTATTCCCTATGTTCGAACAAATGAAGTGTATTACCTCGATCCCGACGCGCCAGTGACTAGACCTTCAACGCACGACCCACAGGATCAGCAGTTTAATGGTACTGACTGTACAGTGACCTGATTCACCTAGGAGAGATGTTGCAGTGATTTAGTTCAAACTGCTACAATTTAGTTAGTCTATTTGGTGTTTGGTTTTACTTAATTTTGCAGTAACACATGTGTCACAGGCTGTATGGAAAGCCTACGCAACTAAATTATACTAATATGTTAAAAAATCCGTAGAAGTTTTAAAAAAAATCAAAAAAGCAACGAAATTTCTTATTCCTTTACGTGTCTGTTGCCTGTTCACCTTAGTGACGTCCGACTGCCGTTCTCTCCTAGTACTGCGTCCGGCTCGGGGTTAGGAAGCTACTGTTGTTGCACTCCAAGAGAGCGGTGGTAATCTAATGGCAGCCAAAGCCTGACTTTCACAAGCTGTGAAGGTCTACTGATTGGAAACTGAAACAGCTTGATAGAGTGTTCTTAACTGATTTGATATACCTTTACTTTTAGATTCTTACCAAACGCCTCGACAGATTTTTAGCTCTGCTCACGTTAGCGATCCTCTTCTAAAGCCCGACATAGTTAAAATCAGAGAGCGACAACAAGCAATTCTCAAAGGACTGTCAGAATTACGCCAGGTAAGCAGAAAGTTACCGGATAAACTTGGATGTGTGTATGTACTCAGTCTGATTGAAGACTGCAAACTGTTCACAGTCACAAGCATTAGTCTTTCACTCAGTTTTCCATCGTGTACAGTGTTTTGGGCCCTGTCCCCTACTTTTCGTCCTCTCATTAATTTTGCTTTTCACGCATTACTTCTACCTTTGGACTGTCCTTAGAGAGAGACTATGGACTCCTGAGATGAGCTGCAAAACACTGGAGTACCTGGGAAAACTTGAAACCAAGAGGAACAGCTTTATTTAGTCTCCAGGTTTTGATAGTTTGGGTTGCTTATAGTGAGAATGTTTAAAGTCCAAGGGGAAAAAAGAGTAGTACTTTAAAAAACCACTAGAACCCTTGTTAAATAAATTTCACTTCTGCGTTTCATGGGTAAGCCAGTCCGTGTGACTGATGCAGAAGCATTAGTGGGGCGGTTCTCGTGTCAGTCCTGGAAAAATTCGGTAATTTGGAAATGTGAAGTGTGAACACTTATAAAACCATTCCAAGACAGCTATTCTTATGTTAACCTGTCGAAGCGAAACTCAGTATTGCTCAATCAGCCAGATTTAGCCATTTCTATTTGTAGGAAGTTACTGGTTGTGATGAGACCTACAGGACTGCTGAAGGATTCGGAATATGGTGAGACTGTCTTTAGGGATCCACATCGCAGCACATTAAACAAACACAGAAGATTACAGCTGGCAACTGTGAAGTTACATATTTTCCCGATTGGTGTCAGAATACCAGGGGAAATAGTCAGGTGTCTAGTTACTAAAACACGAGAAAACCTGATACCCCACCTGTTGGCAGCAAGGTGCGGCCCACAGCTTCAGCCCGCAGGTTGGACGGTCACAGGAACAGTTTCCTTTTAAGCTTCTAAATGGCCTGACAGGGGCCTGCAAGACAAAAAAAAAAAAAAAAAATCACATTTGCCTGTAGGTTTGCATTTTGTTCTTGAAAGATAAAGGTGTATCAGGATCTTCCCTTGGGTTTGAGTGGCTCCATACTAACAGCACTTCACTGCTGGCAGCACTCTTTATTGTTCTTTGCCTTAAGGGAGAGAAATGACATAAATGATCAAAATAAATGGAAGAAAATCCAGCAGACTTGAGTACAACAGAACTACAGTAGCTAAGACTGTTAATTACCTGTTGTGCTTTAGAAAGACACAAGTTCTGTCATGTGTACCTGGTACTTCAGTAGCAGGTAAATTCCTTGTGCAGGTGAAGGGTCATGGCTCTCCGCAAGTTACCAGCCAAGAACATTAAGAGGTTGTCGGATTCTAATGGCTTCCAAATAGGTTTGGGGGCTCAGGTCTTCCCCAGTGCTCATTAACACTCCTGCTAAATATCTGCAACTGTTGAGTATTTTGTATTCAGGCTTCATTTGCCACAGGGGCATTTGGTTCAGAGCAAAGCCAGCTTCAAAGCACAGTTTGATCCTTGTGCGTGCAGAGGTGAACAGAAGCCATGGGAATTTAAAGAGGTTTGAGGGGATAATAAATGACAGGAGCTTAGGGACAATTTTTGATGCACAGTGTATAGTCCAGTCTTAACAGTGGCTAAAAACAGTTGTTAAGGTTAGTCTTGGTTCTGGAAGAGAGTTAAAATGTAAGAGCAGAGTTTACTTTTCTACTTCAGAGATGGTCTTGTTTTTTAAAATTACACATACATGCATATATATACTGGATTGGTAACTTCACAGAATCACAGAACATTCATAGATATAAAATTTCAGAATATATATATATATTAGACAGCTGACATAATTCACAACATACTTGGCCATTCTTTTGTCTGGGGGAATTCACAGTGTATTTCACCAGTGTCTGGCCTGTGAAGTATGCCCAGCTGGAGTGACAGATCCATGGGGTCAGGCTGTTTCAGTACCAGTCTGGCTGACCCACGGGAGAGCCCTGTGAAAAAGGAGGGCAGATGCGGGCCTACCCCCGCCAGAGAGGGCGAGTCGGCTGCTGTGTTGTTACGAGACAGCACTTCTCTTCCTCTGTCTGGGGTCAGTTACAGGAACTCTGAACAGACTTCTGTTTCCCTCGCTGAAAGCAAAACAGAGTCAGTGGAATAAGCCCAAGTTTATTCATCCAGCAAAGTGAATTAAAAATAAGAGCCAAAGTTTAAGAGATAAAGGACAAAAATCCCAGCCCCAGTCTGCACACACTGGAGATCTCATTTTCAGTAGGGCACTAAACTCACTTGCTAACGGCTGTAGCCTACAATGGCTACGTGTTCTCCCCCCAGCAGCAGGCTGGCCGGCGCACGCAGAGGAAGCTCCACGTTACTTTTCTCTGGGCCCTTGGCAAACCGCGCGAGGATACGCTTTGTTCCAGTGTTCCGTGTTACTTGTTTCTCGCCTCAGCTCTGGGCTGATTTAGGGCAATTTGTAGCATGACTGTTTGGGAACACGCTACTAAATGCAAACGCCTCCCTGTAATATACAGCAGACGACACTGTTGGTTTCTCATAAAGCAGTTCCTCGAGTGGTGGGAAACAGGCAGCTCCTGCATTTGGGAGGACGAGAAGGGAAGCCCAACGGGCTGCTCTGGTAGCTGAAGCCAGTTCTGCAGCGCCCCTCGGTGCCACCAGGAGCAGCGGGGCTGCGTTGCTGCAGTACCTGCTGGCTTGGGTTAGCTCTGGACTGGGCTGTGCCAGCAGTGCATCTGTGAGAAAGGTCTGGGGGAAAACATCATCCGAACTTGGCCTTTTGTTCGCTTTTTCTTTTTTCAACCGAATGTCCTTGGCACCCCGTTACTTCTGACAGGTCTAAAGCAGACAGAGACCACGGGGTCAGATGAGTGGATATATGGGATCCTATTAATTACAGTAAAAAGCCTTCGACACAGCCGAGGGCAGGCTGCCCAGAGCTCTGTGTCACAGGTTTTCTGCGCTCTCTACGAGAGCCATTACCAAAGCAGGAACCTGTTACCTTTCAAGGGGTCTGTGCTGTCCTAAACCACTGGACGCTGTTCTGGAGCTGAAGTGGTAGTGAAGAATATAACTGACGCTCAGACTGCGAGCTGGTGGTACCCGCCAGGGTTTGGGATTCAGCTGCGTACAAGGACACGCTAGGAAAGTGCACACACGCAGTGACAGCGTTGCATTTACTGCGATAGAAAAGGGCTTTTCCCATGGCAGAGTCATCCCTGGAAACTGGACTGGCTTCCGCTTCCCTCACCCCTCACGTCTCTGCAGAAGGCAGGCAGCGCTGAGCTCCCTCCCCGCTGGCTGCGCTGCGTTGTGCTGCTGGGCGTTAGGTTTTCGTTTTAAAGCCTTAACGTGCAGCCTGGCTGGAGACACGCAGCAGTGCCACTGCGTTACTGCGTGAGGAAGGCACCGCATTCACATTCATATTCCCTTTATTCCAGGGCCTCCTGCAGAAGCAGAGGGAGTTGGAGACTGCGCTCATTCCCACTGCAGCACCAGAAGAGAACTTGGCTTTGCCATTCTGAGGCTCCCGTGAATGTTCTGAGTCCTTAGAGGGTAAATAAACAGCACTTTGTTTGCCACTGCGATTACTTGTGAACCATCTCTCTCTTTTCTTCAGGAAATACGTGAATTATTTGGATGGATTACAGGGTTGTGTTGCTTTTCATGTTGAAGATGCATTAAACTAAGGATGGTCTGTCCGTTGCTGCCCGGAGCGGGGTGCCCGTTTAACACAACCCCCCCCGGCGCATCACCCGTTTCCTGCAGAGCTCGGGGGGTGTTTTTGGCGAACGCGGAGATGCGTACGTGTGCTGGATGGCTCCACTGACTGTGTCCATGGCTGGCTGAACGGTTAAGTACAAGGAGTTTCTTAGAGTTAAAAGTACTAAGAATGTATATCCACTCAATTAGTCCCAGATTTTAAAACCCCAGAAGTGCTGACTAGAACCTTCCCCCCTCTCCAGTAAAACAGGTTGACTGAAGATAGGAAACTCGTGATGGGCTGTCTGTTTAGAGGGGGCTTCGTGCTACCTGAGGACAGATGTCTGTAATGCAACCACCAAAACGCTGAATCGAAGTGCTACATGTTTATGAAAGATTAAATATAAACCTATAAATCTCGACTTTGGATACAAACCATGCCTTTAAATATAAACCTAAAAATTAAATACAGGCCTATAAATCTCTAACTTAAACATACCCCTGCCATGTAAACACAAAGCTGTACATGTGGTAACGCACACCTTTCCCCACAGTACAGCGGGCCGGGCCCAAGGCACCAGAACTCGGTTTAAGGAAGTTTTCACGCAGCGAGGTGGGAACAGCTCAGCATTCAGTGCTCCCCGTTAGAATTAAACATTGACTTCACCTGGCTTTTAGCCTGCCAGAGGTGGGATAATCCGGGATAAAACTGTTTCCCTTCTGCAGAAGCTGCCCAACCTGAGGTCATGTCAGTTGTTGTGGGGTAACACCCCAGAGCCCGCGCACCGAGGCTCCCCCCAGCAACCACTGATGTCAGACCCAACCTGAACGTGCCGGTACCTGGCAGCCGCAGCCAAGGGAAGGGAGGGGCTCGCTCGCTCCTTCCTGCGTGTGCGGGCGGTAGAACAGCTCTTCGCAAATCCATTAAGGCTCGTCTGTCCGGGAGAGTTCGTTCTTTGCAGAAAGACTGTGTGCCACGGCTGGTGGGGAGGGGGAGGGCAACAACTGCAGCACCGCTCCTAGAACCGGGCTGTCCTTACACGAATAAATCCAACACCTGTTAACAGAAGGAAAGACATTCAGCTTCATGGGAAATCTGTGGGTGGCGTTCGGCTGTTTGCTAAAGCTGCCCTTTTTTAACCAAGCCTTTGCCCCGACTAGTTTGGTGAGTTTCTAGAATCGTGTCCTTTCCATCACCATCATCAGCTTCCTCCACAGAAGCACTGCAGTCACCTCAAAACCCCAGCCACGGGACCCGGACACGTCGAAGACGAGCAGCGAACGTGCAGGCCAAGGCGAGGAGGGTGCGCAGCGCCAGCCGCAAAAAAAGGCCTCCACAGCTGCTCTTCTCCAGCGGCCAGACTCGGGCGGGGACAGGCAGGAAGAATCCCTGGGAAAGAGCCGGTTTGTGACTCGGCAGATGCGAAAGCGAAAAGGACAAGATGAGGAAACATAAAACTGTATTTTGACAATGCTAGTTAAAGAACAAGCAAACAAATGCCCCAAAAAAACCCACTCACCCACCCAGAAAACCCAGCCAGGAAGCAGCAGTGATGGTTACGCTGAAGCGGGAGAGGACTGGGGTGTCTCCGACGCCCCGCGAACCACCGCAGTCGTTAGAGCCACGCTTCTCTCGTGGCGGTAATTACAAAGCAAGCTGCAAGATCCCTCGGATGGGGCCGGAGTTCGCACCGGGTATCAGAATCGGGCACGACGGCAGCTGGGGGCGTCTCTGGCATACCCTGACAGCGATACAAAAACCACAGACACTGCGATCTGTTACCAAGTCCCCTGGCCATCAGGAGTTTATTTCTGTACTGGAACTGCACCATTGGTTACGCTAACTGAGGTATTTAGCCCAAATCCAGCATACAGTCATCAAAACTGCACTGCCTTTGAGCTACGTAAAAACATTTGTACAAAATCTGTGTCAAACGTCAAATAAATACATAACTTTTGATATTTATGCAAAGAAAAGTGATTGGGATACTCTTACAGTTAAAAAAACTGGCTGTGTTGCACAGTTCAGGCAAACACATTTTTCATGAAAACGCCTCCCACCGCAGCCCAGGTACAGGTCAGGTACAAACGTAGAAACTGAAATGTGCCAACAAACAAGGTAATTCAAGTACAGTAACTGTTAAAAAATATATATATTTATTTTTCAGATGCTTTCAACAGTTACAGGCCATCAGGATTTAAATAAGACAAGAAAACACTTGAGATAAAGGACAAGAAACATTTTGTTCCAGAATAAAATAGAAATTGTTAATCCACCATTTTAGAAACAGAAAAGTCCACAGCAACTTATAAAAAGAGACTGGTGAGTTGATGTTTGTTCTGACCACGGCCTGGGAGAATCACATCGCCCAGCCACCAGGCGATGCCGACTTTTCTGTTTCCATGCTCTGGCTGTAAGCAGATAGGAAATAATTTGCTCCCTCTTGGTTCTGGCTGACGGAGGCAATGGGGTAGGTCGTGCCCAGGAAGGTCTGATGAGTGAGGACGTTGAAGTGACTGAACTGATGGGACATGTTGAGTTGTGTGCTATAAACCTGGAAGTTACTGAACGGAGCTTCGTCAACTGCACGGGGTTTCTCTCCTACAGCGGAGCATGTTGTAGAAACTGGAATAATAGGCTGGATCTCTTCCAAGTCCATTTTAGAGGTCTTGTCCATCGAGCTGGCCGGTGCTTCAGCAGGGAATGCTGTCACTGGCAAGCAGCTGCCTTCCACTCCTGCTCCTGCTCCATGGGAGCCCTTGGCCTCGGTCTGCAAAGCTTCCAAAGGAGTATCATATTTAGAGGAATCACTGCAGATTTCTATTGGTGACGTTTCATCCCCTGAATCCAGAGACATGTCCTCCTCCTCCTCCTCCTCCTTTTCAACGTTTTCTACAAGAACTACATTAAAAAAAGAGAAAGTCCTATTCTACTGAGAGACCACCTTTTATTAGAAAAGCTATACACTGCTCAGTGTTAGGCTTCAGGTCTGCAAGTCCAGCGTCACTCTTGGTCTTCCGGCACTGCTGTTCACTTACTCAACACACACACTTAACCCTCTGCGTGTGTCCAGTTACTCCGATGCTGAACGCTTCTGCGCATTGTGCTCGTGTTCAGCGTTGGGAAATCCCAACTCCCAGCTCCAAAGGGGTTAATGTCAAACCAGCATCTAAAGGTACACGGTAGGTGAGTGTTTGATCAGTGAAGCAGTACAGGTGCTGACATCCCAGCCCTTTCCTTACGCTGTCTAAACGCTACCGTGACGCTCTGCCTGGAGCGGCGCCAGGCTGGCACTGCCCCGCACGCCACGTCAGCCCCAGCGCTGTACCTACAGCTTCCTTGGGGCGCCCCCTCAGCTGCTTCTCCCCCATCATTTAACAGCAAAGAGTAGCCTGAGCACTGGGTTTTCCTTGCCATCCCAGCGCAACGGCGCACGAGCTTGAGGACCGCACCCCGCACCCGCGCAAGGAAGGAGAAGAGCGCGTAGCGTTACCTGATTGTTTTCTGGGAGCCTCGGCGGGAGGAAGGCTGCCTTCTGCCGTGACCGAGTTGTGGTACCCAACCAGACTCCTGAAGTTCTGCATGAAGTCATCAACAGTGGCGACCACTATTCCGTTATCCACGTAACTGGAAAGCGTTTTGAGGTTCTTTTCTAAACACACGAAAGGAGATGTTACAGGCTGCGCCTGTTGCCGGAAGGGGGAGAGGCAGTCACAGCGGCTGGGCTTACCCGTCAGGAAGACGACATGTCTCTGCTGTATGTTTTGAGCCTGGAGCCGGATGAGGCAGTCTAATTCTGGAGCATTTCGAGTCTGAGAATCGCAGTTATGGTACGACAGAATCTCAACCAAGTGCTTCTTCTGATAGGAATTCAGGAGGGTCAGCAGGCTGAGGGCATTCGTATTCATCCTGCAGGGGACAAAGCAGCGCTCCCTCAGAGGCACTGGATTTAGGGGCAGTCGAACCATGCAGTCAGAAGGCAAAGTTCTACTTAACTGGGTCTTGGAGAGCACCCGTAAAGCTGAAGCGCTTCAACAGCTGGTGTTTGAAGAATACTACTTACCTCCCCAGCTCTTTAAGCTTTTTTTGGATTTTGCAGTGGACTTTCCACTGCCATTTCCCATCGGGAGTACTGAGATCCTCCAGAAACTTCAAGAACTGTTTAAGTTTATCTGTTTTGGAGATAACGAACAGAAGTTAAAGTCTGTGGTATGCAGACTGAAAATACTGCTGCAGCATACGCGTAAAGGTGCTTGCCGTTTTCATCCGAACGGTCACACCACTGTGAACATCAGCCTCCCACTTCAGGTTTTGTTCCCAGCAGATCACATTCCACAGCGGAGCTGCGTGGAAGGTCAGATGCCCAACAGTGGTATCTGCTTACGTCACAGCCCAGTTCAGTCATACGTGATCTGCCCTGCAAAGGTTTCAGAACTGGTCACTTCACCAACTGTTCAACTTCAAATAAGTGAAAGAATGTGCCTTTTCAGAGTTTCTTCCTGGCCTATTTGTGGGCTGAGCACTAAGGAACAAAAGGTTCCCCTCCTGTACATAACTGCACAATCTGAATACCAACACAGAAACGCGAGAGCGGATCTCCACGTTCACATGTCCCCAGAGCGGCTGCTGAGGTAAGAAAGCGGCTCAATCGGTGGTTCTCCAAAAAACCTCACACATCCCTCGATCCCTCACGCGGTGTGCATGGCCTCTCTCACACGCTAACTCGTCAGGCTTTGGTCTGCGCTCTAACGCCTAGGAACGCGGCACACTCACCCGTGGTGATGGACTCTGGATTCAGGACAGATTCATCCGACACAACAAAACCACCGGACACAAACAGTTCATTGTACGTGTGATTTTTCACATCGTCCAAGCTATCAACGCCCGCAAAGCTGACACAAGAAAGCCTCTTCAAAGTTACTAAGGCAGGTATCTGTTTAGAAACGGCATAAATCAGAGACACGTCCCAAAGGTCATACAAAAAACGTTAACTACAGAATTTTCCTCCTTATTCATACCCAACGCCAAACTTCAGCACACATTTTCAAGCAGTTATCATCTTTTCTCTTGCCCCAGGAGGTGCTCTCTCAAAAACATTACGGGAGCGAGACAGTGGAAGCTGAGCACTTGCACTAATTTCAGTTTCTGCCCGGCACAGGTTCGTATGTTCCCACAGCTGGTGGGAACAGCCAAGGCAGTCCGACAGCTGCCCACCCTCGGCAGCGCAGCATCAATGCAGAATTCCTGAGGCCCCTCTCCAACCCACCGAGACTGAATTACACATTAGCCCATGGGGGAGGTGGCAGAATTAGGGGTGTATGATGGAACGGGACTGGGTATTCACCACAACCACTTCCGGGCCTTCAGATGGCAACTACACCCAGGGCGTCGTTCAAATGCGACGTAGGTGGGAGAAAGTGGCCGTGCCCAAAACAAGCTCCCCTCACTCTGCTGGAACAGCAGCTTCCCACAGTACCCTATCTACATTCCCGCAGTACTGTTTCTACTTGTGTGAAATACCTTATGGATGAGGCTGGCGATGTCTTCGTTTTGGATAATTATCAGCAGTTTATCTAGAGCAGCTCTTCCTTTCAGGAACTGTTCAGGATGGCACTCTGCGTTACCTAACTTCGTAAGGTACTCCTACCACCGCAGGAAGAGAAGATGGGGAAGGAAACGTGAGCAGGCGGTTCGACCAAACAAGCCCCCTGCGATCACCACATTAAGTAAGTTTTCTGTGCAAATGAGTCCCCGACAGACCGGTTCCCTCGTCTCTGCCGTACATGCACGGGAGGGATGCAGCAGCACAGAAACAGGCCGCTGCGGCATGTCTGTGGGGACTGCGTGACCTTTCAATCGCAGCCAGCAGCCTTCATTATCTCGTACCTTTAACGCAGAGCGGTCATCTCCAAAGGTTTCCTGCACTGTTAACTGGAGGGGAAGGGGAAAACCCCCGAACCCCCACACATGGACCTTTCACACACTCTGTCCAAAATGGGAAGCTAGCACGGTTTGCCCTTATTATCTTTCCTCCAGAAGGCCACCCGCCAGCAGATCAGCACAAGGAACCAAACCGCAACCTGTTCTGCTTTCCAGCTGTAAGAACGAGGCCTGCACAACAGCTCACATGAGCACAACCACCTCAGGAGCTACAGTGAGAAATGGGAGAGGGCAGCCTGCCTTCCCAAGTCCTGGTACGAGACAGGGGTCAGGCTACCTTGGGTCTGCATGTCCAGCTTCACACACTGGTTCGAAAGGCGCTCTGTTCTATTTCACCACTGAAAGAGGCCGAACTGGAACGTACTTACCTTGATTTCTCTACAGAGAATGCTTTCCTCCTCTTCATGAATATAAAATTTCACAGTGTTTTTCTGTACATCTTTAATAATTTTGACCAAACTGTTAAATACTTCAGGTTTTATCTGGCTTATTAAAACGGAAAAGCCTGGCTGGGTTGAAATGTTGGAGTTGTCTGTGGATTTCGGTGTGTTTTCGGGTGGCTCCATCACATCCCCGCTGGAGGAGGTCGGGTCAGATGGCAACACCTCCTCTGGTTTAGGCTGTGGGCGGTCGTCTTCCTCCTTCACTGAAGGGACGTTTGACGAATGCTGCTCGCTAGGCTCCGCATCCTTCACCACGTTACTGCACAGCGGCTCTGAGGCCGCTGCCACGTCAGAGTCCTTGCTAACAGGTAACGTCTTGGGCGGGGAATTCAGGGCAGCGTTCCTAACCGCCCCTGCTGACTCCGGGCTAGAATGAAGGGGGGCAGTGTGCCTAATGTACGAAGAGGACAAAATAACACTATTCAACTTTTCACTCAGCGTTTCGATGTATTCTTGGACAGAAACCTCTGATGCCTGCAAACAGAAGTATTCAGAAAGTCTCATTATCCTCTCTCGGGCAGAGAAGACCGGTGTGGACATACCGCTAACATAAGCGATATTCTTTTGCTGCAAGATCTCCTGAATCTTTCTTGCAAAGAGATTATATTCTTCTAAGAGAATGGTCTCTATTATGGCACTAATGGAATGCTTAGCTGTAACAGGCTGATCTCCCAGCCCACACTGATCTTGACGTTTCTCCACTTGTCTTGTATAAAGTCCATCTTCTGCTGTCCCCTTTTGTGTGTCTGAAAATGGAGAGTATGGAAACTGATAATAAGAACTTCTCTGTCTATTTATTACCCGGGGGTCATTAGGAAAGGCATCCTTTGGCGGTAAACACACCAGTGGTTCTTCTGGTGATTTCAGACCTATACAGGAAGAGTTAATGATCATCACCATCTCATGTCTGACAGTCACACACGGCTGATACACTAAGACCTCCAAAACCGAGTTTTAAAACAGCACTGCTGCTCTGCCCCCCCCTCCGACCAGCTGCAGTGCAGAGACTCCAGGGTTGCTGCCTGCTGAGGTGCAGATCCCAGAGGGTTTATCAGCTCCCCAGACAGTACAGCAATAAAGCCAAAGTGTGCTCAGAAACACTGAACCCAAGTACTTTTCCCAGAGATGACACCTGAGTACGCATTACAGGACCCACCTTAATTACAAAAAAAACCCCGAAGAAATTAGAAAACAAGGATGACAAGGTATTCCAGTATTTTCATTTGCTATTGGGTCACAATCCTGACTTTTAAAAGGCTTCTTTTAGCCACCCGCGGCCTTGTGGAGTTAGACCGCAAATTCCAAGCTGCATATTTAATCTCACAATTGAGAATAGGGTGGGGGTTTTTTTCTTAATAAAGCAGGACATAAGGCTTGTGGTAATTACTGATACACAGAATCAGTTATGCTGCAAGGAGTGCTGAAAGCCTCTCGTAATCCAACCCTCAGATCACTTCCGCAGCGCTCAGCTTCCCCAACATGCACTTTCAAAGCTATGGTTTTGTTTGGTTTTAAGCAAATTTAAAGGTGTTGCAATGAGTGAGACGTGCACACAGGTAGTTCAGATACATACAGGTATTTCAGTATGCATCTGTTCCAGAAATACTTCAAAGGAGGTTTTCATGTTGTAAGTGTTGTTTCATTGCTAACACTGCTACAGCCGTAAGCAGACAACCAGACAGGAACAGAAGCAGTTTCTCAAAGGCAGTGTTCCTTGGGAACACAGCTGGTTTTGTAGCCAGTTAAACACTCACATTCAGTCCAAAACTAGCAAAGTGGTTGCATCTGCTTTATCTAATGGAACTCCTTCTCCTTCCAAGCACCACCCCTCAGTCACCCCAGATTCCCAGGTCTCTTCAAAAGCACTAAACGCAGATAGAGAGCGGGTTACTCCAGTCGGTTCCATTCTCTCTCATCTGAACCTCTGTTCCGCTGCCCTACACCTTCCGCACACGTAAGCACATGCACTTTAGAAGGCCGGGAAGAACTCCGTACCACATCCTGATGTGAGCAGCACAAACCTGGTGAAACTCATTTGAGATTCTGGGCACCTACAGAACTGTTACCTGTCTCGTTCTCCTGGAGCTGCTCAACACTTCCAAGCTACATCACTACTGCTATCAAGAAACACTTGACTATAAGCACGTCTTAGTAAGAAGATTAAAAGCTATACTATGGCTTTAAATTAGGGGCTGTTTCTGCAACTTCTTACATTTTAATACTGCTGAGCAGTTGCTTAACACTTTGTTGTTTCCCTTGCCCCCCTCCCTTCTCAGCCAAGCAAACTAAAAGGGCTGCTG